ATCATGAAAATTAAACCTTATTTTCAATAAGCAATCCTGAAAAATATTTGGGGGTGCTTAACTTTTTTCCAGGTGTATATATTCATTTAAATACGTACTCGATACAAGTCAGGAAAGGGTAAAATATGATGATAATGTGCAAAGTAAGGTGAATAGCAGGTAGTGTTTTTGTCCTCTGTATTTTTATATCTTCCAGTTAACCATTGTTTCAACGATTATTAAATCAAGGTGTAAATAAGTAATTTCGGAAATATGAATAACAAAGAAGAGAGTAATTAAAATGGCAAATCAACCTGTTTGTTTATAGGTTTTGTTTTCATGCGCAGTGGACTATCTATGCTGTGTCCACTGCAGGAATGGAACTCCAAATTTTAAATATGAGCCCTTAAACTTATCGCTGAGCCACCGGGAGGGGGAGAAGCATCAGCATTCTATCTGCTCTGTGAAAATCGTATATTTTTTAGAGAATGTAATATTTTGCTCTTAGGTTCGTGGAGACATATTTATTGAATACATAAAATGTAATCAACTTAGATCCATTGTGTTGCTCAGCGGTAAGCTAGAACGGCTTATAACGCTAAAATTCGGGTGTTCGATTCCCGTGATAGCCACAGCGCAGATAACTCGTTGTGCAATGTGGAGGTTAAAGTTAAAGAAAATGAATAAATGTAGCTTTTACAAAATAAACTAAAGAGTGATAAAATATTGTTCATACATTAGCTAACGATCGTTGGTCTTAATATAAATACATTGATGTGACTGTACGAAGCGTGTATATAACTTTCGCACAATTGATAAAAATCACGTAAATTGCAAATGTTTCTTTTTCTTCGTATTCTTTTTAAATTAATTTATCTACTTCGAATTTAAAATTAGAAGCTTGTAAGAAATTAAATTTTATCACAATTTTAGGCCTATTGGCTTTTAATGTATCGCCAGATTTTAGAGTTTAAACAATAACTTTTAAAGGTTTTAAATATAATACATTTTTAAATTTACAACAAAAATACCTTAATGTATTAAAATTTAACTAGATCGAAGGTGGCGCGGACACGAAAGTGCGTTTAATATGACGTACTCCCATAATGCAATTTATTTCTCCTATGTATTACTTCGCCATTTTTAGTTACTTGGATGGGTTGGTTGGTACTAGGCTAGTTGCTAATATATATAGTTATTTAAGAAAAAGTTAATATGCGGTATATTTTAAAGTATAAGAAGAACGACGTATGCCCAAAGGTTATTGCATATATTATATTCAAAGTGCATCTGTGGTAAATACTATATTGGTCTACCCTACTTTCTTGTCTACTGTTACTAGTAATACAATAGTATTCACTATTACTATTAGTTACTAAACTGCGTACTAATGATACAATGTACTGCTAGTGCTACAAAAGGCTAAATACAGCAAGTACTGTGTATCAGTAACGTTAGTTTTCTGACTGTCAGTGGAACTACCAGTGTTGTCGTAATGGTAGTGAACTGGTACTGTTTTTGACTGATCAAAAGCTATTCAGGCCTAGCCATATTTGGTTAGGCCTACATCTAAATATATAATAAATTTTATTTAAACGTCGTATTCATAAGCAAGATATCAATTAAATGCTCCCAGAACAACAGTAGCCACCGACACTTTATTTGAATTGGATGATCTGGTGTAAGTAGTGTTTTAGTACAACATATTATTAATATTTAGTATATTGTACTTTTAATATTATTGATTAGAAATAAAATTGTTTCCTTGCTTAATCGAAAGTAATAATGTAATTTTAAAAAAGTTCATTTTACAGCAGTTAATTTTGATTTCAGTTTTTAATATCTACTGTTTATTTAGATTCTGGGCTAACATTAGTAACTAACTTTTTTTCATAGTTTACTATTACTAGTTGGGGAGGGGGTCTTGATGATTTTTAAATAGTGAAAGTAAAATAATTTATACACTATTGGATTCCACAGTCAAAAATTAGTTATTTACACTGCAATTTGAATTATATATTTAATAATTAATGAAAAAGAATTAATAATAGTACCTGTAACTTGACCTTTCACATCATGTGACTGTCTTATTGGAACAATGCTAAAAGATTATCTGTGACTGATATAAAACTGATGACCTGAAACATCGTGTGAAGCTTGTGACAGGCAAGATAAAATTTAGTCCTAATAAGATACTTCTATTGAAAACTTGTATGTGTAAATTTACATTATATTGATAAATGAAATAAAAACTGTCAACAACCAGATATTCAAAGTCAAGTATTAACTTACATATTTACCTCTTAAAGTAAAGGAGAAATTTTACACTCGTGATCAATACATAACAGACACTGCCTACAGTTACAATTCATCATTCATTTGACATGCTGTTAGTCGGGTTTGGGCAGATATATATATATATTGGTTTATGTAATATGGACCACACAGTTTTTTGTATGGCTTTGCTTTTCAAATTCAATGACTAAAAAGTATTTATTGATGGGTTTTACAGTTTTGTTTGTGTGTTTTAAAGTAGAAAATGCTTCTGGATAAACAACAACAACCCAGATCAGTGTAGAGGATGAAGAAAACAATTGTTTTGTATATCACTGACTCCTATTGGTCAAGAATCTGCTCACAGACACTGTTTTTGGTTCTAATATTCACCCATTCATCTCCACAAAATGGTGGAGGAAACTTTATCAATCTTATTATAACCAATTTACAACTAGTGGGTGTATGGTTTCCATGAAATAAATAGTGCAAACTCAGTGTGTAGTAGCACTGTAGACGTTTTTTCACTTGTTTGGTGTATAATAATTTAGTGATTTCTTTATGGAAGATCTATATATTTGTAACTGCAACTTTGAATTCACACACTTCCATGGCTGGAAACTATAATTCCTTAGGTCTACGTTTTACTAGTTTATCATTTTGTGGATTCGTACAAAAATAAGACTGAATGTATATAAATTATAAATTTACTTATCATTTAACTGTGTGTTATTTACTACTGAGTATTTATTAATATTAGGTAAGCTACAGAAAATGAGTAACATTCCAGTACTGTGAATTTACAGAAACCATGTTTAACTAGTAACTGAAGTTTCAGTATACAATGGCTTGGGTTATTTAAATATTTACTTGCAAATAAAAGCAAGAAACGTGAGCAATTGTTTCATTGCTCTTGTTTGTTATGAGCTTTTACTCTGTGACCTGTAGTGAAGCGCTTGACAACACTGGAATAAAAAATGTATATAAAATAAACTTATGGGCATTGCATATTTAAAGAAAAATCTAATTGGTTTAAATTTATACACTAAAGTTTTATTTCATTCTATACATTAATATTTTTTTTAATTGTACATTTTTATTTTTTATTGATTTCAGCATGCTCAGGATAAAAATGTTGCTGTTATTTTTGAGCATAATACAACATTCATAGTCCTATAGGAAGAATGTAGAAGTGGTTTTTAACAGAATTGAACCATGTAGCATTCATACAAGTTTTTTTTTAATTAAAAAAAATCAGTGTTTAAAAAACTTAGTTGTTGTGGTGTTATGTAAAACGTCTATCTCAGCTTCCAGATGTGGAACCAGATCAGGTTGAGAATTGTTAGGCTTAGTTGGATCATACTGCACTTGACCATACGACATCACATTTTGCTAATAAGACTGATGTGTTTATATGAGACTTTATCAGCCTAAGTAACTCCTTGAATAAGTAAAGAATATCACAAAAAATGTAATATATATATACATCTGAATATAGAACAGATTAAAACTTATTTAATATAATTGTGATTGACAGTTGCAAGAAGTCTGTTTGATTGTAATTTTTGTACAAGTTATTAGCTGCAGCTAATAGAATGGCTCTGAATGTTTTTCATGTGTAAACTTTTAGCTCATATCTCCGTCATCTCCTGACCGATTAAGATCTAATTACAGTTTTGGACTGAGGAGGTCAAACTTCTGATTTATCTATTTGACCAAGCCTAAGGTCTCATAGATTAATTTACTCTTATCCTGCCTAAAGATCCTGATGAGTAATAAAATAGGAAAAAAAAGGTTTCATAGATTAATCCTGCCTAAAATAATTCCATATGCTGTGGCTATTGAGGATTCCCTCTTGTTTTTATCACATCATTGATTATAGACATAGTTAAACTGTTTTGTTTTTTTATCCTGAGTCAAAACAGACAAAATTTATTTGGATCTTTTTCGTTCGGTGACCACCCAACATGTGGAAGGTTATTTTTACTGGAATGAAACAGTAAATCACAGTGAAAATTTTGTCGATCTTGCAGCCACACCCAAAATGTTGAAAGTATGTGGCAGGGAAGAAACAAGCATCATTGTGGAACTTTTCACCAAATGGTTGACTCTTATCTTTGTGAATGAAACAAAGATGAAGATGTATTCAAAAAAATTTTGTTTAATATTGAAGAATTTGCTAAATCAATATCATATAATGTTTTATTATTAGTTATTTTATTTTATTGCATTACTAGTGTTATTTTCAAAATGATCTTTTGGTGGTCATCAAATGGAAAACACTCGTTTATTGTTATAAAATAAAAACTATTGGAAATCTTTGTCATAAAAATCAGTAATTGAAATCTACATCGTAGACAATAATGTTTAATTGTTTCTTTAAACATTTCTTAAGAAATATATTTGAATTTGTAAAGCTGAGAATTGATATAAATATCACATACAAAAATATTTTGCAGAAGCTACATAATCAGCAGAAAGTTAATCTCAAATTTTATCTATTAGTTTTTTTGTTTTTTTTGCTGTCTAATAAAACAATCCACATGATAGGTGCATCAAATGAATGTGTGTTTTTAATGTTAAATGATATAGGTAATTACTATAAGGTTGTGCTGATTGGATATCAGTCATTGTTATGGTTAATAAGTTTGCAACGTTTAAAATCATTGAATTCTAATAGTTCTTTTTAAATAATCGGATAAAAATTCTAACCATTTTTTATCATGTTTTAGCTACTTATCAGCTGCTACTTTCAGGGAAGGACTGTTTCTTGAATCAGTTATTTGAATAGCTTCAATAGGGGTATCTAGGTTTTGTTGACATCTTTGCTAGGTTAACACAAAGATGTGAAGTACTAACCCGAGTGCTTTCAAAAAGTGGACTTTTCCATTTTCCCCTGAAGAGGAGAGGTATACCTTTCGCTCTTGTATGACTTAGGTGATTATGTAAGCTAGTATTACTCAAGTACTGGTCCATGAATCATTGCCATTCTGTCACAACCACCTTGTCTGCAAGGCTGTAGCTACAGTGAATTGAGCTGTCCAGGACTCATTCTGCCTGTCCAGCACTCTCGTGCAATGTTACTACTGCTGCCCAGCACTCCCGTGCAATGGGACTACTGCTGCCCAGCACTCCCGTGCAATGGGAGTACTGCTGCCCAGCACTCCCGTGCAATGTGACTACTGCTGCCCAGCACTCCCGTGCAATGTGACT